GCCAGAAGAGAGTGGGGGCCAATATTCAACACCCTTAAAGAAAAGAACTTGCAACCTAGAATTTCATATCCAGTCAAACTAAGCTTCATAAGTGAAGGAGAAATAAAATCCGTTACAGACAAGCAATCGCTGAGAGATTTCATCACCATGAGGCTTGCCTTACAAGAGCTCCTGAAAGAAGCACTAAACAAGGAAAGGAACAAGCAGTGCCAACAACTCCAAAAACATACCAAATGGTAAAGAGCATCAACACAGTGAAGAAAATGTATGAACTAATGGGCAAAACATCCAGCTAGCATCAAAATGGCAGGATCAAATTCACACATAACAGTATTAACCTTAAATATAAATGGGCTGAATGCCCCAATCAAAAGACACGAACAGGCAAATTGGATGAAAAGTCAAGACCCATTGGTGTTCTGTACTCAGGAAACCCATCTCACATGCAAGGACACATATAAGTGAAAAATAAAGGGATGGAGGAAGATTTACCAAGCAACGGAGAGCAAAAAAAGCAGGAGTTGCAATCCTAGTCTCTGATAAAATGGACTTTAAACCAACAAAGATTAAAAGAGACAAAGAAGGGCATTACATAATGGTAAAAGGATTAATCCAACAAGAAGAGCTAACGATCCTAAATATATATACACCCATTACAGGAGCACCCAGATACACAAAGCAAGTTCTTAATGACTTACAAAGAGACTTAGACTCCCACACATTAATAGGGGGAGACTTTAACACTCCACTGTCAATATTAGACAGATCAACAAGACAGAAATTAACAAGGAAATCCAGGACTTAAACTCAGATCTGGACCAAGTGGACCTAATAGACATCTACAGAATTCTCCACCCCAAATCCACAGAATATACATTCTTCTCAGCAACATACTGTGGCTACTCTAAAATTGACCACATAATTGGAAGTAAATCACTCCTCAGCAAATGCAAAAGAATGGAAATGATAACAGATAGTCTCTCAAACTACAGGGCAATCAAATTAGAACTCAGGATTAAGAAACTAACTCAGAAATGCACAAATTCATGAAAACTGAACAACTGGCTCCTGAATGTTGACTGGATAAACAATGAAATGAAGGCAGAGATAAAGATGTTCTTCAAAACCAATGAGAATGAAGACACAATGGACCAGAATCTCTGGGACACATTTAAAGCAATGTCTAGAGGGAAATTTATAACAGTAAATGCCCACATGAGAGGCAAGGAAAGATCTAAAATTGACACTGTATTGCCAAAATTGAAAGAGCTAGATCAAAAAAACACGAAAGCTAGAAGAAGACAAGAAACAACTAAGATCAGAGCAGAACTGAAGGAGATAGAGACACAAAAAATCCTTCAAAAAATCAACAGGAGCTGGTTTTTTGAAAAGATCAACAAAATAGACTGCTAGCCAGATTAATAAAAGAGAAAAGGGAGAAGAATCAAATAGATGCAATAAAAAAACCATAAAGGGGATATCACCACTAATTCCACAGAAATACAAACTGCCATCAGAGATTACTACAAACAACTCTATGCACATAAACCAGTAAACCTGGAAGAAATGGATAAATTCCTGGACACTTGCACCCTCCCAAACCTAAACCAGGAAGAAGTTGAAACCTTGAACAGACTAACAACAAGGGCTGAAGTTGAGGCAGCGATTAATAGCCTACCAACCAAAAAAAAGTCCAGGTCCAGACGGGTTCACAGCCGAATTCTACCAGACATACAAAGAGGAGCTGGTACCATTTCCTCTGAAACTATTCCAAAGAAAACAAAAAGAGGGAATCTTTCCCAAATCATTTTATGAGACCAACATCATCCTGATACCAAAACCCGGCAGAGACTCAACAAGAAAAGAAAACTTCAGGCCAATATCCATGATGAACACAGATGCAAAACTCTTCAATGAAATACTGGCAAATCAATTGCAACAGCACATCAAAAAGTTTATTCATCATGATCAAGTAGGCTTCATCCCAGGGATGCAAGGCTGGTTCAATATATGCAAGTCTATAAATGTAATCCACCACAGAAAAAGAACCAAAGACAAAAACCACATGATCATCTCAATAGATGCAGAAAAGGCCTTTGACAAAATTCAACAGCGCTTTATGCTAAAAACTCTCAATAAACTAGGTATTGAAGGAACGTATCTCAAAATAATAAAAGGAATTTATGACAAACCTACAGCTAATATCATACTGAATGGGCAAAAACAGGAAGCATTCCCTTTGAAATCTGGCACTAGACAAGGATGTCCTCTCTCTCCACTTCTATTCAATATAGTATTGGAAGTTCTAGCCAGAGCAATTAGGCAAGAAAAAAAAAAGAGCATATTCAATTAGGAAAGGAGGAAGTCAGATTGTCTCTATTTGCAGAGGACATGATTGTATATTTAGAAGAACCTATCATCTCAGCTCAAAATCTCCTTAAAATGATAAGCAACTTTAGCAAAGTCTCAGGATACAAAATCAATGTGCAGAAATCACAAGCATTCCTATACACCAATAACAGACTAACAGACAGCCAAATCATGAACGAACTCCCATTCACAATTGCTACAAAGAGAGTAAAATACTAGGAATACAACTAACAAAGGATATAAAGGACCTCTCCAAGGAGAACTACAAACAACTGCTCAAGGAAATAAGAAAGGAAACAAACAGATGGAGAAACATTCCATGCTCATGGTTTGGAAGAATAAATATCGTGAAAATGGCCATATTGCTCAAAGCAATATATAGATTCAACACTATCCCCATCAAGCTACCAATGAACTTCTTCACAGAACTGGAAAAAAACACCCTAAGCTTCATATGGAACCAAAAAGAGAGCCTGCATAGCCGAGACAATCCTAAGCAAAAAGAACAAAGCTGAAGGCATCATACTACGTGACTTCAAACTATACTACAAGGCTACAGTCATCAAAACAGCATGGTACTGGTACCAAAACAGAAATATAGGCCAATGGAACAGAACAGAGGCCTCGGAGGCAATGCCACACGTCTACAACCATCTGATCTTTGACAAACCTCACAAAAACAAGCAATGGGGAAAGGATTCCCTGTTTAATAAATGGTGTCAGGAAAACTGGCTAGCCATGTGCAGAAAGCAGAAACTGTACCCCTTCCTGACAACTTACACTAAAATTAACTCCAGATGGATTAAAGACTTAAACATAAGACCTAACACCATAAAAACCCTAGAAGAAAACCTAGGCAAAACCATTCAGGACATAGGCATAGGCAAAGACTTCATGATTAAAACACCAAAAGCATTGGCAACAAAAGCCAAAATAGACAAATGGGACCTAATTAAACTCCAGAGCTTCTGTACAGCAAAAGAAACAATCATTAGAGTTAACTGGCAACCAACAGAATGGGAAAAAATTTTTGCAATCTACCCATCTGATAAAGGGCTAATATCAAGAATGTACAAAGAACTAAAACAGATTTACAAGAAAAAAACAAAGCCACTCAAAAGCAGGCAAAGGATATGAATAGACACTTTTCAAAAGAAGACATATATGAGGCCAACAAATATATGAAAAAATGGTCATCATCACTGGTCATTAGAGAAATGTAAATCAAAGCCACATTGAGATACCATCTCACGCCAGTTAGAATGGCGATCATTAAAAAATCTGGAGACAACAGATGCTGGAGAGGATGTGGAGAAACAGGGACACTTTTACACTGTTGGTGGGAGTGTAAATTAGTTCAACCATTGTGGAAGAAAGTGTGGCAATCCCTCAAGGACCTAGAAATAGAAATCCCATCTGACCCAGCAATCCCATTACTGGGTATATACCCAAAGGATTATAAATTGTTCTACTGTAAAGACACATGAACACGTATGTTCACTGCAGCACTGTTTACAATAGCAAAGTCCTGGAACCAACCCAAATGCCCATCGATGATAGACTGGACAAGGAAAATGTGGCATATATGCACCATGGAATGCTATGCAGCCATAAAAAAACAATGAATTCGTGGTCTTTGTAGGGACATGGATGAATCTGTAAGCAATCATTCTCAGCAAACTGACACAAGAACAGAAAATCAAACACCACTTGTTCTCACTCATAGGCAGGTGTTGAACAAGGAGAACAGGTAGACACAGGAAGGGGAGCATCACACACTGGGGTCTGTTGGGGGAAGGCTAGGGGAGGGTCAGCCGGGGAGTGGGGAGGTAGGGGAGGGATAACATGGGGAGACATGCCATATATAGGTGACAGGGGGATGGAGGCAGCAAACCACATTGCCGTGTATGTACCTATGCAACAATCCTGCATGATCTGCACATGTACCCCAGAACCTAAAGTACAATTTTAAAAAAAAACAAAAAACTTCCTCTTATGTTCTACTTTCAGTTAGTTAGTAGTTGATTTCTAACACAAAATGCCTCTTTTTCACTTCTACCATTTCAGGTTCATGGTAACTGTCCTTGATTAGTAAAATGGCCTTAACTCCTTGCTTTACCTCCTTTGAAATCCACTCCACATTCTTTCAAGTTCAAACGTCTTCAGATATTTTCCATACAAAAAAATTCATAAATCTCAAGAGCTCAGACTTCATTGAAATGAAATGCAGAAACACTATTGGTGACTTGAGTGAAAAGGTAATGGCAAGGACTGAATTCAAGTCAAGTATTACTGGAAAACTGAACTAACGTCGCGGTTTTTATTTGCATATTATATATTTTTTAATTTTTTTCAGGAGCCAGCCACTAATTTTTTTCAGAAAAAAATGACAAGGGCACAATTCATTTAAATAGTTGCCTAATTTAAGTAAATCAATTTCCAACGGTACAAAATAAGCTTCATGTACATTTTTATGGTTACGTATTTGGGTGGATCTGGGGGCTCCATAGCTGACTTCCATAACTCAAAGGGATTCAGGACCGTTAAAAGGCTCAGAACTGCTTCCATAAACAAGAAAGAATGCTGCAAAGAAAGGCAGCAGTTTTGCTGTAAAATCCTACTGTTGACAGCCAAGAGGGACGTGTTGCTTCGCGACACTCAGCCCGTGGGGTCGTGGCGGCTCCAGTAGGGCGCACGCGGCGCCTTTATCTGGGCACGTGCGAGTGTTTTTTCGGGAGGACACCGCGGGTGGACGCGTCAGCTGACCGTCCTCCAGCCTCGCGCCGCGCCCTGCCCCGAGTCGCCAAGTAGCCGCGGAGTCGCCTCCGCTGCCCCCGCGCCCCTAGTGTTCCAGCCTTGGCCGCTCGCCTCCTCCGAGGGTGCCTACTCGTCCTGGGCGGCCGCCGCCCGCCGCGCGGTGAGTGCCAGCCGGGGCTTCCGCGGCGCGTGCCTGGAGGCTGCGGGGCGGGACAGCCAGTCACTCGGGTGGCTGGTTTGAAGCGGGATGTGCGTGCGCTGCTGGTAGTGCGCCCCTACTCTGGCACGGGGTAGGGCTGGCATTGTTTCCCCGATCTCGCGGCCTGGGCGCAACCAGCTTCAGGGCGGAGAAAAAAGGGGTGTCAGCCGTGCTGCCCGGACGGAGCCCACCCGGGGGAAAACCGAGTTTCCCAGAAGCTCACTCCGGAGTCTCAGTACTGCCCATCTAGTTCAACAGCCTGCAGTGGGACTCGGGAGCCTGCGTTTTGGGAGGAGGTGGTCACCCCCTGGGCCCGGCTGCAGGAGAGAGGGCTGCGAAATGTACATGAAGCTTATTTTGTAACGTTGGAAATTGATTTACTTAAAGTAGGCAACTATTTAAATGAATTGTGCCCTTGTCATTTTTTTCTTTAAAAAATTAGTGGCTAGCTCTTTGTCCCAGTTCGAACTGTGAACCCGGCGCCCCCGCGGCTTAGACCCTCCGCGCGGTGGTGAACCTGGGAGCAGGACTCAGTGCCCGGGTTGCGGCGCGGACCAAAAGTGTCCAGGACAAGCCAGGATAGAAATGACCTGGGGAGGGTTCCATCAGACAATGAAATTAGCTTTGGATTTATCAACAAATCCTTTAAATACAGAGGATTAATGAACGGAGAGTCTAAGTGGCTCAGTGACTATTAAGGTGGTCTTTATAATGTGATCAAAAGTTTCAGATACCATCTGATGCATAAAGCCTATTCACTGGGTAGACAAATTGGAAGCATGGAGAATTCATTATTTAATAAGAGTGAAGGAACTGGCAAATTAGCGAATGACAGCATTGGTGTAAAGTACTCTAATTTGCTTTGAGAGCTACGAGATAAAATGCCTCTTCTTCCTGGGGTGGCATGGGAAGGCTTCATTGAAAAGGTGACTTTCTCTTTAAGTATGTATCTTTAGGATACATACTTTACTCTTCCCTGAAACATTATAAGAAGTGATCCTCAAACTTTTTTTTTTTGTTTTGTTTTGTTTTGAGGCAGAGTCTCACTCTTGCCCAGGACGGAGGGCCGTGGTGCCATCTCTGCTCACTGCAACCTCCGCTTCCGGGTTCAAGCGATTCTCCTGCCTCAGCCTCCTCAGTACCTGGGATTACAGGCGCCCGCCACCACACCTGGCTAATTTTTGTATTTTTTTTTAGTAAAGACGGGGTTTCACCATATTGGCCAGGCTGGTGCTGAACCCCTGACCTCGTGATCCACCTGCCTCAGCCTCCCAAGGTACTGCCTCAAACTTTTTAATAATAGGACTCCCTTATGCTCTTAAACTTAGAGGCTCCAAAGCCCTTTTGTTTATGTAGGTTATATCCATCTGTCTGTCTTATCAAAAGGTATCTACAAAACTGATAAACTTTACAAATATTTAGTTTATTTAAAAGTTACAATAATAAGCTCATTACATGTTAACATAACAGTTTTTGTGAAAAATAACTTATCCTGAACAAACAGAAAAAAAGTGAAAAGAACGACATGTTTTACATTTTTGCAACTCCCTTAACGTCTGGCTTAATAGAAGATAGGCAGATAATTATATCTGCTTCTGTATTATCCATTGGCATGAGTTAGTTTGATTGAAGCATGGCAAGAAAATCTACTCTCAAATAGAGAACACTGGAAAAAGGGAGATCTGAGAGACCCTCTGAATGGGCTGGGGGGCTACAGATTTGTTGTAATAGCTTCTTGACCTTTAATGTGCATAGGAAATCACTTGAGAATCTTGTTGAAATACAGCTTCTGATTCAGTGGGTCTGGGATGGGGCCTGAGACTGTATTTATAACCAGCTTCCAGGTGTTGTGGATGGTGCTGGTGGAGATTGTCTCCCTTTTAAAAAGTAAAGGAGGCTTTAAAAAAAATTAACAGCTTAGCCAGTAAGATTAGTTGGAGTTTATTGCCTTAGAGTAAAAAATTCCAATTTTTCCAATACAGATTTCTTCATCTTTAGACTAAGAAATGCATGTTGCGATAAGCTTGCTGCCAAGTGTTTTGATTTTCTTCCTTCTGCATATTCTCTCGATTACCTTTGACTGATCTGAAAGTCTTTATTCTTTTGGCATTTCTTTTGCTTTCCTGTGTCTTAATGTATTTTACTTAGAAATATTGCAGAGATTTCCTTAACACAGTATAGGCTATTCAATTTTAAGATCCAGTAGATTCTATTTTAAATTATGGCTGTATTATTTACTCATTATGTTGACAAATAATTCAGTGTCTTATGGCCCTAGTTTCTGATCTCACCATATTTTTTCCTGAGGAAAAATCTCAAGTATGGAAAATCTGTATGGACAAATATGTGCTTTATAGTTTTATTTCTACTAGCAAGAAAAAGGAGCCAATCATTTCCATTCTACAGATAAAATAAATGTTTATTTGATGCAGCAGGACAATGGTCAAGGTCCCCTGCATGTCCTGGTCCCCTGTTATCTCTGACCTCAGCCACTCTTCTCAGTCCACTCTGGCTACACTTGCCTCCTTGCTCTTTCTAGAACACATCAGACACCATTCAGACATACAGCCTTTGCTCTAGTTTCCCTTTTGTCCTAAAATTATTTTACTCTAGTGGTATGCCTCTGTCACCCTCAAGGGTTTGCTCTAATCTCACCTTTCTGGTTTAACCTACCCTGGCTGTGGCTTCTTTCTTTCTTTCTCTTTTCTTTCTTTCTTTTTTTTTTTTTTTTTCGGACAGAAAGAACATCTAGAAACTTCTGCTAAAAAGTTAACAGATATAGGAATTAGAAAAATATTTCTTCAGAGCATGACATTTTCCAGGAAAGTGTAAGGAAGTTTTTTTTCAAGAAGTGATTCCTTAGAACTCAGAGTAAGTAGCACATTTTCCTCTAATGTAGTAAATATTAGGGGTATGATAGGACCATTCCCTAGAATGTCATACATTGCTATACAGAAAACATACTATGTTTGGGACTTTATTCACGTTTTTACTGCTCTTCACCATAACATTGTAAAATCCCGGGATTCTTAGAGATTTTTTTTAATGAATTTTAAAATGTACTATACACAAATAAGAAAATTTGAAAATTTGCAACTTAGCCTAAGAGTAGTATTTTTTTAAACCATGGGTAAGTGACAACAAAATACTAGTCAATTTCATAGTCTTTTTTTTTCTCCTTCATGGATTAATTAAACTAAAAGCTCAAAAAGTCAGCATAATACAAACCTTGGTAAACAATTGGTTACCTCTGGATATTTCTTGATTAATTACTATTACTTTATTGACCAAAAACCTATCATTTCTATTACAATAAGATTTTGCTTCATTTCCAAAATTTACTCAGTGCCAATACAGATACTCCTCAATTTAGGATGGGGCTACAAGTTGAAAATATCATAAATCAAAAATGCATTGTTATTATTTTAACACATTATTATAAAAACAAAAAAATTCTCAGCATTGTTATGTTAGAAGCAGAAATTAGAAGATTAGTAAAAATGAAGAGAGAAATGGTTCAGGAACATCATAGCTTTGTGAGGTTTTATACACCTACCCTGCTAAATGCCATAGTTTAGGCCAGCCTGCATGCTCAAAACAATTATATAAGCCTACAGTTAGGCAAAGTCATCTAACGCAATGTCTGCTTTGCAATAAAGTACTAAATAACTCGTGTAATGTATTAAATACTCTAATGAAAAACAAAATGGTTATATGGATGCTTGAAGTAAGTATGTTTTTGACTGATCATGAATTGCTTTTGCACCATACGTAAAAAAAATTGTAAGTTGAACTGTCTTAAGTCACAGACATTTGTACTTTACGATGTTTAGAATGGTTTTTAAATAGAATTAAAAGTTATTTCCATTAAGTTTTTACTAATACCTTCTTGGTAAGAATGACCAAAATTAGCTAAACTCAGAAGCCAAAAGCCATGACTAGTCTTTGGTGAAAAGCAACTAACTTCTGTTTTTTAGTTTTTTGGTTTTTGGTTTTTGGTTTTGAGATATGGTATCATTCTGTTGCCCAGGCTAGAGTGTAGTGGCATTGATCATAGCTCACTGCAGCCTTGAACTTCTGGGCTCAAGCGACCCTCCTGCCTCAGCCTCCCAAAGTGCTGGGATTACAGGAGTGAACCTGCATCTGGCCTCAACTAGCTTCTTAAAGACAAGAGAGACATAGTACACTTTGCTCTAATAGAATCTCTTTTGTTTATTTCTTCACTGCTTTTAAACTTTGTTCCAGAAAAAAATGTTGAGAAGGCTTTGAAATAAAATAATAGGAGCTGACAAATTTTAAGTCAATAATAAAAATATTTCCAAAGCTACTGGAGGCAACAACTGTGTTCAAACCACACCTGATAATCCAACTCTTAAATTTTTTGTAGTGTCTATAACTACCTTCAATCAGTATCTTCAAATGCCCTATATCTTATTAATTATAATCCACTTAAAAATACAAAAATTTTCAGATTTTTTTTCACTATCTCCAACTAGCCATCTATTTCCTCATCCTGCCATTCTTATTTTTAAAGAAAAGCTGAGGATGCCTATCCTACACAAATGTCTAACGTTTTCAGAAGTTCATTTGATATAGAGCTATGGTGCAAGGTGCTTCTGCTCTCCTGGTGTTCCTGTTTAAACTGTAATGAGGTTCCCTACTTTGTCAGCTTCTGTATGCTTGTCCCATAAGTTCAGCACTTTAAGGAAATATGCCAAGGAGAATTGCCTTTTACTATAACAGGTTAGGCAAATTCCCATGATGACATAGCATAACTAAGCTTGTATGTAAGAGCACAAGCTGAGCAAAACTACGTCAATGAATATCAGTGGGTATAATTTTCAAGCCCAATAAATAGTCAAGATGGGGAAAGGAAATGGCAAACATAAAGAAGCAGAGAAGGCTGGGTGCTATGGCTCATACTTGTAATGCTAGTGGTTTGGGAGGCTAAGGTTTGAGGACTGCTTGAGGCCAAGAGTTTAAGATCAGCCTGGGCATCATAATAAGGCCCCAGCTCTACAAAAAAAAAAAAAAAAAAATTTTTTTTTTTAATTAGCCTGGCCTTGTGGCACATGCCTTAAGTCTCAGCTGCTCAAGAGGCTGAGATGAGAGGATTGTTTGAACCCAGGGTTTTGAGGCTGCAGTGAGCTATGATTGTGCCATTGCACACCAGCCTGGGTGACAGCCCTGTCTCTTAAGAAAAAAAAAAAAAACAAATAAACACAAAGCAAAACAAAAACAGAAAAAAAGAGGAGGAGAAATGATAAAAGAGAGGCAAATAGAAGCATATGGGTAATGTAAATAATTACCTTAAATTAAGAATGCATTTCTGCACAAAATCATTCATTAAGTTCAAAATTGTGGTCATTTAAATAATATGAAAAAAATTCTCTGATTTTAAAATATTTATTATTTATAGATGGGAGAAAGCTAGAGAAGTAAGTAGGGAGGTCTGGGAAAAAGCTGGAAAACAAGGAGTGCTTGGTGTCAATATTGCAGAGCGTCATGGTGGGATTGGAGGGGATTTGCCCCAGAAGCTGTTGTCTGGGAGGAGCAGTAAGTATGGAGACCTTTAGGTTGAGTCTTGTTTTGTAAACACACCGCTCACCTTTCTGAGATGACCAAAAAAAAAAAAAATGCTTTTTAATCTTCTTGGAAGATTGAAAATTCAGTGTAAAATGTAAAAGATTATACCATTCATGTACTCTTGCAGGTTTTTTGAATGTGGGATAATAAGAAAATCCCTTTAAGTTGCTGAAATAGGTGCTATTGAAAATTAAAGAGAAAGTTTTTTTTCTTTTGATGCTTATGATTACTTTTCCCCCTTAGAAAAGATAGTTGAAAGAGAACAGTGGAGTAGAAAAACATTTCCATCAAATATACTAGAATTTTAATATTCAAAAACAAATAAACATTGCAGCTGAAAAATGGGTAAAGAATTTGAAGCAATAATTCATCAAAAAAGAAATGCAAATGGGTTTTTTAAATGAGAAAAGTTTATCCTCAGTACCAATCAAATGCAAATTAAACTGATCTGGAGGTATCATTTTGAGTATCTATAAAGCTAGTGAAAATCAAAAGTCCTAATACCCAGTGCTGACAAGATTGCAGTGAAAGTGTCATACACTAATGGTGGCATTATAAATTGGAACAATAAATCTTTTGGGGACTAGAAAGGCAAAAAAGTTAAAAAAAAAAAAAAAAAAGTTCCTGCTCCTTTACCTAGAATGCCACTTTGGGGAATTTATCTTAAAATAATTTAATAGGAAAAATAGATACTGTGTTCAGAAATCATTGTCACGTTAGGTCATAATTCTCCAAATTTTGAAGCAATCTAAATGTCCAGAAGTGGGAGAATGGATAAGAAAATTATGGTAAATAAACAACTTGTAGTATTTTCCAGCTATTTAAGATTAAAATCTATGTAAAAATACAATTTTGTTGTATCATATAATTTATTTTTAAATTTAAAATTTGTATTGGTGTGCATATGTGCCATAATTTTAAAAGAAAAGAGCAAAGTACAAAATTTACTGCATGACACCATCTTTTGTTTTGTTTTTTGTTCTTTTTTTCTTCTATTCTATTTGCTGTTTTTTTATTTTTTATTTTTGTTCTTTTGTTTATTTGTTTTAACCGTGACTCCATCTTATTAGAATACATTCTTATGGCAAAGATAATTAGAAGAATACAGTTATTATTCTACTGTGTTATAAGAATATAATTGCAGGTGATTTATATTTTAAAATATTTTATCTCTCAATTAAATAAGTGTTCATTGAACTCTAGTAGAGCCCTGTTATTGTGTTGGAATCAGAAGTTTTAAAATTAGTAAAAATAAAATACTAAGAAAATACTCGGGAATGCCATAGGTTTGTGATGAGATAGGCTACTACCAAACAGTTTGATAGGCTCTTTAATACACTGTTGTTACAATAGTCATTTTTTAATTGCTATTTTATGCTTTAATTTTTCTTCTTTTTTCTTTCTAAGAGCTTATTCAAATTGTTCAGGCCCCGGTTTTGGTGTTCATTCAGCAATTGCCATGCCCTATATTGCAAACTATGGCTCAGAAGAACAGATTAAGCACTTTATTCCTCAGATGACTACAGGCAAATGTATTGGTGAAATAGCAATGACAGAGCCGTGAGCTGGAAGGTAAGTTAATATTTAGCTGGCTTTGGATTCTTGGAAGCAGTGCCTTAACATTTTCTTAGTACTTCGTTAATATATAGACTGAGCTATGTGCTAGGAGGAATGCAACGATGAACATGGGATAATTCATGACCTCAAGTAGGAACATAACAATAAAGCAGATGATAATGTATGCTATGTTTGAGAGACTAACACAGTTTTATTCAAAGATAATGGTAGTATAAGAGTTGAATTTTCAGCGTAATGAATTTTAGATGTAGGGTGAGAGTCACATGTAAAAAATGTCAAGCAGTTTGTTCAACAGGTGTATTTGAAATTGTAGAAATAAGGGTGGAGTAGTAAGGTTTTAAAAGTCTTTCATATCTAAGAATTGATACAATAGGAATGAATAAGATCATGTATTCGGTTATTTGCTGATTATTTAGTATGTGTCTTCAATGTGCCAGGTATACAATAGTGAACAAAACAGATGTGGTCTCTATACTTACTGAGAAGGGCAAGAAATAAGCAAGTATATATATTTGTAATTATAAATTATGATAAGTACTGTGAAGGAAATGAAGCGCTGGGCTATAGACTGATTAATGGTATGTTTGTGTTTGGTGGGATAGGGAAAAGCAAATTTAGGCAAATGCTAACAAAGGCCTATAAACAGTAGTTGTATTTAAACTGAGATTTGACAGATGAGAAGGAACCAGTTTTATAAGAATGGGGGAAAGAGCTTCCACAGAATGGGAACTGATCCTCAAGTGGTAAAATGAAAAAAAGGGACCAAGGAGAAAAATCTGGGCAGTATGTTTCATTTGGAACTGTACAAAAGAAGATGGAGCAACAGAGACAGAAGGATTGAGAGTTTTAAAGAAATCTAGACGTGACTAATTAGAGAAGTCAGTTGCAAAGGCCATAGGAAAGGAGAAAGAAGTTAGTAATGTGAAGGCCACAGTGATATTGAGAATGGAGGAGAGGTCCCGGCAGGCCTAATAATCCTTTGTGATTTCAGCAGGGTGGAGGGGCAGAAGTTACTTTTTATGGGAGTGAGATGGTTGTTGAGAAAACAGAGGCAGAGAACAGAAAGTAATCTTTCTCAGGGCTGAGTGGTGAAAGAAAATGCAGAGAGTGGGCAGTGGTTTGAGGCTAACTGGTAAGGGAAATGATTTATGCTACAGATAGCCGCAGCTTGTGGGTCAACAGAAAACAAATAGAGAAAAGGAAGAACTTAGAGATTCGGAAGAAGTGGTAAGTGAAAATCCAGGAATTGTTTTTGTGGAAGACAGGCCCTCCATTTTTATCATAAGATTTTCTTTTTTGACCATGTTATTTATTTTTAAATCTCTTAATACTCTATAGCATGACTTGCAGTATGTTTACATTGGTATTTGTCTTTTTAAGATGTAAATTTCTATAGGCCAATAATAATACTTAATTTTGTCAAAAATTAAGGTTTCTGTTCACTTCTGTTGCCTACAAGTGTGATCTAAACAAGTGGAAATTTAATCTTCTTCCTTTATAATTGCTTTTAATTTCATTCTGTAAGATAACTACCTGGCTGACTGCCAGTATTCAAATTGAGTTGTATTAGCTCTGTGGTTAGCATGTTCCACTTCCAGCTATTGCATGTTAGCTCTCACAAAGGGGCAATAAAATAAATGAGATTTTGATTTATCTCTAAACTTACACATGCAAACAAAGGTTCATGTGATTTTTGTTTAAATTCTCTGGCCTTAACTGTGGTTAGGTCTATATAATTAAGAAGGAAACCTGAAAATGAAGATGGAGAAAATAAACAGATTTCTTTCTTTCTTTCTTTCTCTTTCTTTCTTTCTTTCTTTCTTTCTTTCTTTCTTTCTTTCTTTCTTTCTTTCTTTTTTAATTGCAAAGTCATTGAAAGTCATGAGAGGATAGTAAATAAGTCAGGTATTTAGGGAGATGAGCAAAGAGCCCATGTGGGTAAGAGAATATAAGAACATAGAAAAGCCACAGATGAAGAATAATAGAATATTGAGGAATTATGGCATGAAATTGGCATGAAATAGGGAAAAACACGTGAGAAGAAAAGAAGATAGAAGATGGAATATGGTTCATTTTGCTTGCTCTCAGAGATGAATTGAGCACTGTCTGTATTTTTACTTGGATTTGGCCTCCACACACACACAAAAATGTTGTGATTTGCTGAAAAACATCCAGAGTTTCACTGGCCCTTTCTCCTTCAATGTACATAGGAGGCTTCATTATACATCATTGTGTATCTTTGTATGTTGTGTTACCTTAGCATTTTATAAATGCTTTCATGTTGATTTTATTTTATTAGGTTTTAAAGAAATAGAAATGAGGACTTGCTATGTTGCCCAGGCTGGTCTCAAACTCCTGGACTCAAGCAATCCTACTGCCTCGGCCTCCCAAAGTGCTAAAATTACAGGTGTGAGCCACTGTGCCTGACCTCATGTTGATTTTTTATTATGTGGCTATTATAATAAGATATATGGAATAGAGATATGATTTCTATGTAAGAAGAAAACAGAAAATAATAAATGAAGTATTTTGACCACGTACATAGAGCAAATTGTTGACAGCTTTAGAGCCAGAGTGTTCTGACACCAGCTTGTAATCTTGGGTAAAAATCTCTGAGCCTCAATGTCTCTATCAGTGAAATTGAGATAATGATACTTAAGATTATTGTGAGGGTCTAAATTGGTGGCTTTACTAAGTGACATACGTTTTCATTTTTAATATTTCATATATACCACTCAAAAATTTAGGAAAAATTTGCAAACTGAGCTATGTGATTATCTTTATTTCCTTTGAATTTTTTTCTTTTTTTTGAGATGGAGTCTCACTCTTGTCACCCAGGCTGGACTGCAATGGTGAAATCTTGGCTCATTGCAACCTCTCCCAGGTTCAGGCTATTCTCCTGCCTCAACCCCCCCAAGTAGCTGGGATTACAGGCATCTGCCACCAAGCCCGGCTATTTTTTGTATTTGTAGTAGAGACAGGGTTAGTAGAGACAGGGTTTCTCCATGTTGAGTCAGGGTTTCTCCATGTTGGTCAGGTTGGTCTTGAACTCCTGACCACATGTGATCTGCCCGCCTCAGCCTCTCAAAGTGCTAGGATTACAGGCATGAGCCACGGCACCCAACCTTAGAAGAATTGTTTTAATAAACTGTGTACAGACTTCAGTTAAAGATACTTTATATGTACTTATGTTGAAAAACATAATGTTAGAATACAATAGCATTCAAGCCGGGTGCCATGGCTCACACCTGTAATCCCATCACTTTGGGAGGCCAAGGCAGGTGGTTCACCTGAGGTCAGGAGTTTGAGACCAGTCTGGCCAACATAGTGAAACTCTATCTCTACTAAAAATACAAAAATTAGCTGGACGTGGGTAGGACATGCATCTGTAATCCCAGTTACTTGGGAGGCTGAGGCAGGAGAATCTCTTGAACCTGGGAGGTGGAGGTTGCAGTGAACTGAGATCGTGCCACCGCACTCCAACCTCAACCACAGAGTGAAACTCCATCTCAAAAACAACAACAAAAAAGAATACAATAGCATTCAGCTTTAAAATGTTCCCAATCTGCATTCGCCCTTTTGATGATAATCAGACTACAGATTGGTTCACATACCTGTGCCATTTAACCTGTGTTTCAGATAGGTGGTTCTGTATTATACAATCTCTTTCTGAAACTTACTGTGATGTTTGAAGTGATTAGATGTGTAATGGATAAGCTTTGAATTCATGTGTTGGGGGTCCCCAAGACTACCACCAGGTTCAAATGATTTGTTAGGAGGACTCACAAGACTCAACATATGGTACCCATGGCTACAATTTATTATAGTAAAGGACACAATGCAAAATTAGCCAGGGGAAACTCTCATGGGTGAAGTCCCATAAAACCAATAGCAGCTTCTAGGAGTTATTTCCCAGTGAGGTCATACAGAACATTCTTAATTCCTTCAGCAAGTTGTGACATGTGTGAAATGTTGTGCACCAAGGTGTAGCTCATTAGAGACTTGGTGCCCAAGGATTTTATTGGAGGTTGGTCATATAGACACCTTCTCCCTGGCATGTACCAAAAGTTGAGATCCCCAGAAGGAAAGCAGATATTCAGCATAAGCCAAATTGTTTGCACAAACGGTTTAGACAGTAAGGCACGCTAATGAGTGCTGGGAATGGTGGGAAGTCTCCTGAAATCCAGATTCTCAGATGCTAGCCACGGGCAATGTTATAACAGACCTTTATAAGGATAGCAGTGTCAGGCCTGCTTTCTTTTCTTTTCTGGATACTTGGCATTTTAGTAACATAATTTAACAAATGTTTATTGAGCGCCTGTTATGTACAAAGCAGTATGCTAGGCTCAGAGCATAGACATGTGATCTTAATACACATCATGTTCTCTAAGAGCTTGAGTCAGATAAGTGTGGTAGGTGGGAAAGGTAATTTCTTTTTATTCTAATTGAAACTCAATGTAAATGCTCCAAGAGAGTATATTTGTTGCCTATGGCATCTGTGACAAATTGTCACAGACTTGGTGGCTTAACACAACAGGAATTTATTCTCTTAGAGTTCTGAAGGCTAGAAGTCCAAAATCAGTATCATTGGGCCCAAATCAAGGTAGCAGCAGGGCCACATTCCCTCCCGAGGTTATAGGGGCAGATCCACTCCTTTCCTCATCTATCTCTTGTTGGCTATTGTTGTTCCTTGCCTTGTTGCATAATCACTGCAGTCTTTGCCTTTGTGGTCACGTTGCCTTCTCTTCTGTGAAATCTCTTTTTACCTCTCTCCTATGAGGACATTACTGATTGAATTTAGGGCTCATTCAGATAATTCATAATAATCTCTTTATCACTACATCCTTAAATTAATCACATTTGCAGGACCCTTTTTCCATGTAAGGTAGCACAGCCTCCAGAGTATAGGAACTGATACCTTTGGAGTCATTATTCAGCCTAATACAGAGAGTGGTTTAATAAAAAATGCAGCCAGGCGCAGTGGCTCACGCCTGTAATCCCAGCACTTTGGGAGGCCAAGGTGGGCAGATCACCTGAAGTCAGGAGTTCAAGACCAGCCTAGCCAACATGGTGAAACCTCATGTCTACTAATAATAAAAAAAAAAAAAAATAGCCAGGCATGGTGGCATACACCTGTAATCCCAGCTACTGGAGACACTGTGGCAGGAGGATTGCTTGAATTGGGGAGGCAAAAGTTGCAGTGAAATGAGATTGTGCCATTGCACTCCAGTGTGAGCAATAAGAGTGAAACTAGGTCTCAAAAAAAAAAAAAAAAAAGCCTAGGAGCATGAAATATAAACACCACTGTCTTAGTCTGTTTTTGCATTGCTATTAAAAAAAATACCTGAGACTGGGTAATTCATAAAGAAAAACGTTTAAGTGATTCACAGTTCCACAGGCTATATAGGAAGCATGGCTGGGGAGGCCTCAGGAAACGTACAATCATGGCAGAAGGCAAATGGGAAGCAGACATGTCCTACATGGCCAGAGAAGAAGGAAGAGAGAGAACGGGGATGTGCTACACACTTTTAAACAACCAGATCTCATGGTAAGTAAATCGCTATCACAAGAACAGCAAGGGGGAAGTTCATCCCCATGATCCAATTACCCAGCAGGCCCCCTTCTCCAACACTGAAAATTATCATTGAACATGAGATTTGGGTCAGAACACAGAGCCAAACCATATCAACCACATAAAGAAGAAGAATTGGAAAAATTTTGCAAGTAATGTGGACTATTTATATACAATGCTGTTTATTATAGGATGTTAATAAAACTTGGGACCTAAGTGTTTTAACAATAGGGGATTATTTTTTTTAATTATGGCAAATCCATGATGATGCTGTGTGCAGCTAATAAGAAGTGTCTTATAGAAAAACATTAGATATTGTTAATAGATCAAAATCATATGGTTTCAATTTTATAAAAATGCTTATATATGTATAGTTAAGTGCAGAGAAAAATATTGGAAAGACACAACTTTAAAATGTTCATTCTAGGAGATAAAATTATTTTTTAAATTATTTTTCTCCTTTGGAATGCTGTTTGTATTCTTAATATTTTATTTACTAACATTTGTTTCTTTTATATTTGGAAAAATAATCTATTCTACATTTAGAGCAGGTTTGTTAGAAAAAATGGCATTTGAGATATACCCTTTTTTTTTTTTTTGAGACAAGATCTCACTGTGTTACCTAGACTAGAGTGCAGTGGCATGATCATGGCTCTCTGCAGCTTCAACCTCCCAGGCCCAAGTGATCCTCTCACTTCAGCCTCTCAAGTAGCTGACACCACAGGCGTGTGCCACCACACCCAACTAATTTTTTAACTTTTTGTGGAGATAGAGTCTAGCTTTGTTGCCCAGGCTAGTCTCAAACTCCTGCATTCAAGCAGTCCTCCTGCCTCAGTCTCCCAAAGTGCTGGATTACAGGCATGACCCACCGTGCCCTGCCTAATGGCTAAATTTTTGATCAGTAGAGACCAGGGAAAGGAGCCAATGTGTTCAAAGGCAGCAAAGTACATGGTGACACGTAATCTCAGGGATACAGTGAGCCTTGAAATGTTATGTGAGTCCCATTTTGGGTCTTGAATGTTAGCGGGGCTTTGTTATACTACTCTATAAAATCTGGCTAGTTTATATAATCTTAATCATATATTCATTTGTATAACTGCTTTAGAATATAATAGATCAGCATGGTTTTTCAGTGCAATTGTGTGAACATTCTTAATATTCAGCAATTTTATAGTGGTGTAGCCAGTTTGAATAATCTCATTTACATACATACTTATAGAATTTGCATAATTTAATTTTTATCATTTGATGAATTTCTTATCCTTTCTCTCAATTGCAGTGACTTAAAAGGAGTAAAAACAAATGCTGAAAAGGAAGGAAGTGGGGCTGGCCTGGTGGCTCACGCCTGTAATCCCAGCACTTTGGGAGGCCGAGGCGGGTGGATCACGAGGTCAAGAGATTGAGACCATCCTGGTCAACATGGTGAAACCCCGTCTCTATGAAAAATACAAAAAATTAGCTGGGCATGGTGGCTCATGCCTGTAATCTCAGCTACTCAGGAGGCTGAGGCAGGAGAATTGCCTGAACCCAGGAGACGGAGGTTGCGGTGAGCCGAGATCGCGCCATTGCACTCCAGCCTGGGTAACAAAAGCAAAACTCCATCTTAGAAAAAAGAAAAAAAAGGAAGGAAGTGACTGAATTCTCAATGGAAGCAAGGTGTATAAAGATGGACTTCTATAGTCCTTCTTTTCAGAGTCATCCCCTGGGTAACAACGTCTCAGAGACAACTCCTTGATTCTGTTAAATCTAGAGACTCATGAAGGAATTGAATTTACCTAAGTTGCTTTGGAGACGATAAATTTACAACATATATTACTTAAGATCTGTGGTAACTTCTTCTATGTTTCATTTTGCATGCCCCCTCACTAATATGGCAAAGGTTGTTTTAGCTTCCAGGCAGCCCTTATCAAACCAGAAAAAGAGAAGGCAAGGCTCATATTGCTCAAATATGGGACAAATATTAATAATACTTAAACTTTATTTTGATGAAAGTTGGGGGAAAAGCTTTCTCAGATAGATCAAGAAGAATTTCAAAAGATTCTAGGAGAAGGCCAGGCACAGTGGCTCATACCTGTAATCCCAGCACTTCGGGAGACTGAAGCAAGAGGATTGCTTGAGCCCAGAAGTTTGAGACCAGCCTGGGCAACAAAGTGAGACCCTGTCTCTACAAAAATAAAAATTTTAACAATTAGCTGGACATGGTGATGTGCACTTTGGTTCCAGCTACTCACTCAGGAGGCTGAAATAGGACAATTGCTTGAGCCAAGGAGGTTGAGAGAGTAAGACCTCCTCTCAAAAAAAAAAAAAAAAAAAATTCTAGGACAGAAAGATATCAGTGATACAGTGATAGAATTTGAGTCCCATTTGAGAACCATTTAGTTCTTCTAACTCAACCAACTCACTGATAGAATTGGAGAACCCTTCCTAGTAAGGTTACAAATGGGCTCAGGAGCCCTGATATCACTGAGGGGAAATGCAGTTGATATCACCAAGGGCAAGTGATATTGCCCACCTAAAATTGTATCTGGTATATACTCAGTAAATATTTGTTGTTGACTGAATGTCATGTGAAGGAAAGATGTTCACTTTCTTTACAGTTCTAAAATAATCTTTCTGAAAATATGTGCCAAGGTCTGTTGAAGAATTAGTTTTTATATGTTTGTTTGGGCTAATATCTCTGTATTTACAAAATTGAATCACTGGTGTTCTTCAAATATACCTTAATAAATATTTGTTTAAATAATTTATCCTAAGAATTATAATTAAATAGATGATAGCTCCAACATATAATCAGTTAACTCCTGGCATACAGAAGGCTGCTTTTGAAAGGATAGTGGGATATTTGGTCAGAAGTGAAAATGGGAACCACATTTTCTTATGCCTCTAGCTCTCTAAGCAGGCCTCGTCTGCTCAGCTGTCGTGTTCTGTGGGAACTACCCAGGAAAACTACCATTGACTCTGTTTCAAAAACTCAGAAATAGCAAAAAAATGAAAACAAGTAAAAGTAAAGGAATGGGTAAGCAAATACAGTGCATCTGAATGAATGTGCAGCGATTAACATTAGCAACACACAGTTTTTAACAGTACAGGAAATAATTATACATTAAGTGAAAAAACGGGTTATAGAATGAAAGTATAGAAAAATTTTTACCCAATGAAAGTTTTTGCCTAATGAGCTGCTTCCTTTCTATTCCATTGTTTATTTACAATCTATAGTTAAAACATGTATGAGACATTTTAAAAGCATACAGTAGATGCTAATTCCTGGATGCTGTATGATTCAAAACAAACAAAAATGCGCTCTTAAAGCATTTCAACTGTGGCAGCTACATAGATGTTAGAAACTACACAGAAGGGTAGGAACTTGTTAGATTTATAAGGTTTTTGAGCAAGGCAGTGGTGTAATGGAGCCATACTGTTGAAAAAATATTTTTGCCAAGATGTATAGAATTTCTTTGAAGAACATCTTTTTCAAAATATATTTTTTAAACATCCTTTGGCCTTCTCTGTGCCAAACAGAATTCTAAGCACTGAGGGTAGATAGATGAGTAGGAAATGGTTAGGAGTTCCTAGTAAGGAGGGATGTTGATGATTTTTTAATGTGTCACCTATAACCGTGCTACTACCACTATCTTCATTTGCTGTTATGTAGACAACACTAACATTATTTGCCCATTTTTCATTATTTGTATGTGTCAGTGCTGTGCATTTTAGGTGATGGGAGTAACTAACATCATTTTATACACCTACTATTTCAAAGGGAGAGAGATAAAAACAGATCATTTGAATACAGTTTGATAAATCTTAAAATCATGGTACATTTGAGGTGTTGTAGGAGCACTTAATGCAGTCTGGAGAATTTGAGACTTTTTGGACAATCTGATGTCTAATCCGTCCAGGATGGGAAGGATTCATTGTAGCAGAGCTGGGAAAGGTCCTTTCCCAAGTAGAAAAAACAAGATTTTCAGACTCAGAGGTCAGGAAAACCTCAAAATGTGACGGACAGCAAGTAATTTAGTAGCACTGACTGGAGAACGGGGAATTGGGAGAAGTGGGACAAGTAATAATGTAGGTAAGGAGTGGTAAGCTAGTTGTTGTTTGTGATAAGTTTTCTGTTTCCTGCTAAGGGTTTTGAATTTATCCTGAAGCCTATTGGGAGCTATTCAAAATTTTTTAAGTGTGAAGGTGATATGATCAGATGACATTTAGAAAGATCTCTCTGACATCATAATGAATGATACAGCTATAGGAAGATGAGTTGTAGGAACTTGAGAAAGGATGAAGGCTGGAAATAAGGTAATTACAATAGACTTGAAAGGAAGTGAATAGATTTCAAAAGTATTAAGATGGATTAGAAAGAACTAGATGCTGAATTGAATATGAAGCAAGATGATAGCGTGATTTATTGAAGCATTCATTGAGATAGAGAAATTGGTTGATAATCAGGATTGGATAGGAGTAAGGGTGGGAAGGAATATGTCCTTCCCATGAGTCATCAGGTGGAATTATCCAGAAGCATGAGTCATCAGGTAGAATTATTATATCCTAAGTATGTATAAATGTCCAGGTCCTATCAAGAAATATGGCTTACCAGGAGTTTGAGGCTGCAGTGAGCTATGATCACACCACTGCACCACTGCCTGGGTGAGAGAAACCCTGTCTCTGAAAAAAAAAAAAAAAGTGAAATGTGGCTTAGATAAATATCTGAATTCATCAGCATGTAGAGGGTGACTCAAGCCATGAAAGTGATTGAGGTGAACCAGGAAAGATGCAGAATGAGAAGAGAATTATTATTGGCTCTGGGTATATTTTGTTTTCTGAATCAATATCATCTAATAATCCCTCTCATTTGGCTTGTTATATTTCCCTCCTTAATCATATTCTCTTATTTAGGCCATTTTGAAGGAAGCAGGATAGCAATTATAAAAATCAAAAATAGTCCTTTTCAAAAACTGATAAATCTGAGAATAAATAGTATAGTGCCATTTATAGCAGATTTTCTCTTTTTGTTTTCCTTTTCTTTTCCAGAGACAGGGTCTCACTCTGTCACCCAGGTTAGTGTGCAGTGGCCCAATCATAATTCACTGCAACCTCAAACTCCTGGGCTCAAGCAATCCTCCTGCATCAGCCTCCTGAGTAGCTTGGACTATAGGTGCACACTACCACACCAGCTAATTTTTCATTTTTTGTCTCTGCTATTTTGGTGAGGCTGGTCTTGAACTCCTAAACTCAAATGATCTCCTTGCCTCTGCCTCCTAAAGTGCTGGTGTTGTAAGTGTGAGCCACCGGGCCCAGCCAGATTTTCTTTTCTTATCAGTCGCTTTCTTCTAAAATACAATTTATTATCATAATAAACAATTTAGTTTCATTTTTAAAGAACATAGTAATCTCTGTTATTATGTGTAATATTAATAATGAAAATAAAATCTATAGGCTTCATTCTTTGAAGCATTAAGTAATTTTTTCCTGATCCTTGATAACGTCATGTGTGAACAGTCAACTCTGCAGATATTTGCTAGGGTACAGAGAGAGGTATCAAACATGTCATCCGTTTTGTTTTCTTGAATGTGCTTTCTCCCAATCATAACTTGCACATAGGCTTGAACTATCCTGATGCATTAATAGGTACTTGGGGTTTTGCAGGTGTTCATCAGTGGTTAAGCGACCTTGTGATTGTAGTTGTGATCACAAATCGTGAGGCTCACTCCCCTGCCCATGGTATTAACCTTTTTCTGGTCGAAAATGGAATGAAAGAATTTATTAAGGGACTAAAGCTACATAAAACGGGATTAAAAGCCCAGGTGAGTGATAATGTAAATCATATTCAGATACTAATTAAGTTTACTATTAATCAGATAGGAGACATATAGAGGATTACATGTGGCACAACTTTACTTCCTATGCTGAATTTCTAAAATATGCTTTTCTGATGTGGTAATGGAGATTTATTCCCATTTATGCTACTTTATCTCTTTCTGATGGTCAGCAATAAAAATGAATCAAGGTATTTTGACTGTCTGCTTTAGAAATGACAAAATTAACTGCATGGTAATAAGCCATCTATTTGTAAAATGTATTAAAGAAAAATATGAAGTAAAAACAGAAAATGTTTTTCTAGATATTACCAAAAATACATGTTTTGCTTAATATGTATTAGAAATCCTTAGTTCCAAGTATCTTGAGAACTGGACAATATTAGAGCTGGAATGATAGTGTATTGCAGTAGGAAAGCCACTAGGTTTAGAATCAGATGGATGTGGGTTCAGATTCCTGGTTTACCACATACTAGTTGTGTCCATTAACCACTCCAGCTTGGCTTCCAATTTGTTTTTTGCTTTTTTGGAAAACATAATATTCACTTCAATATTCACTGGGTGTTTGGAAGATTTAAATGAGATAATTCTCTACATTTTTTGTATGGTCTTTTAGGATCCTGCAGAACTATTCTTTGAAGATGTATGGTTGCCAGCTAGTGCCCTACTTGGAGAAGAGAATAAAGGCTTCTATTATCTCATGAAAGCTTCCACAGGTAAGATTCCATCTTTTGATTGAATAATGAATTGGAATAAAATAATATAGAAACATGCTGTTTCTATATTATTCATGCAAATTTATACATGCAAAACTTGTGAAATAGCTAATCATTTGAGTATTAAATTTGTAATAAACGTATGTGTTTTATAGGCTAGATAGGTAAATAACTGACCTCAGTGAAATCCAATCGAAGCTTATAAAGTGGGTAGGAAAAACAAGTATTTCAGTTCTGTGATTCCTTCTTAGAATGATTTTAGCTTCTTAATTACAATTCAAAACTTTTAGCTCTTTGTAAGGAAATGTCATACAAAACATTTGACAGCTTGCCAGTTTTTAAATAATAACTGTGACTCAAAGGGAAAAGTATAAAGTTCAGACCTAAAAGTTTTAGCCACATAGGGTCAGTCCCTAAATAGCTATGGTTTTGGAGTACGGTTGACAAGTGATTATTGAGCCTCAGATGCCAGCATAAGGGGATACTCCTGCCTAGTGACTGCCAGAGAATCACCAGCATGATGGAATTAAAGTGACTAAGGCTACTTTTACATTAATAGGTAGATTTTAACTTACGCACTTTAAGATGCGTTTTTCCACACATATATTGAGTCATGCAGTGTGCAGAGATCAATAAATTAAAATCAACAACTAGGGATTTTTTTAACTCATATGTGAATAAAGAGAAGAAAAAATTAAATTAATTACATATATATAATGAAGATAGTCATTCATGGGCATGGTGTTATGTGCCTGTTGTCCCAGCTACTCGGGAGGCCAAGGTGGGAAGATAGCTTGAGCCCAGGAATTCCAGGATGTAGTGAACTATGATTGTGCAACTGTACTCCATTTTTGGCAACAGAGTGAGACCTCATATCTTAAAAACTTTAAAAGATTTAAGAAAGGCAGTCATTCATAAAAATAAAGGATTTGCAGGCCGGGCACGGTGGCTCACGCCTGTAATCCCAGCACTTTGGGAGGCCGAGGCGGGTGGATCACGAGGTCAAGAGATCGAGACCATCCTGGTCAACACGGTGAAACCCCGTCTCTACTAAAAATACAAAAAATTAGCTGGGCATGGTGGTGCGTGCCTGTAATCCCAGCTACTCAGGAGGCTGAGGCAGGAGAATTGCCTGAACCCAGGAGGCGGAGGTTGCGGTGAGCCGAGATCGCGCCATTGCACTCCAGCCTGGGTAACAAGAGTGAAGCTCCGTCTCAAAAAAAAATAAATAAATAAATAAAATAAAGGATTTGCTTTAGAGAGTGATTAGAGGTATGTCAAAAGAATCTCATAAATCTCTGCTTTTTTATAAAGAGTTAAGACATAAATTAATCTTTATGAATTTATTATAAAGTTATAGGATTTATCATAATTGAAATTGTGTGAAAATCACTTACAGAATTACAGTAATATTTAAAACCTAATTTTTATGTTATAGGAAAGGCTACTAATTGCTGATATGCAATTTCAGCTAGTGAATTCATGCTTGAAGAAACCAGGAACTATGTTAAACAAAGAAAAGCTTTTGGGAAAACAATTGCCCACCTACAGGTAAGCTTGTCGCTATGGTTTAATATTAGATGATATCAATTTACCCATCTGAAATGGCCTAGAGTAAACAGAAGTTTGGGTTATTTTCATGTAAGATGATATTAGAAACTGTGGAAGTGGATGAGACCACTAAGGGAGAGTGAGTAGAGAGTAAGACAGGAAGAGGTCTTAGGACACAGTCCTCGAGGAAAACTACAAGATTTAAAGGTAGAATTTATATTTGGAATTCATATTGTCTGAAAAAGAGGAGTCTGTAAGATAACTGAGAGTGAATGAACAGTTAGAAAGGAGAAAGCAAATCAGGAGAGCTTTGTCACAGAAGCTGGAAGGAAAGAGGATTTCATGGAGTAGGGAGTGGGACCAAATGCTGCTTAAAGGAAAGATAAGATGAAGGGCAAAGAGTGCTCATTGAACACAATGATACGGACATTATTTAGTAAGAGCCATTACAGAGGTGGAGGGTGACAGACCCCAGTGAGTAGACAGAAATGAGGAAGTAAAACAATACTGAGGGTAGGCAACTCTTTCCTGAGTTTGGCTATGAATGGTAGTTGAGAGAATGGGTAGTAAGGGAAGAGAGGAGGGTAAGGAGATTTGAGAGTCAAGGGAGATATTTGGGAGTTATTAATTTTTTGTTGTTATTGTTAGGATGGAGATGTGGGTGCATATTTTAACACCTAGAGAAAGGATTTAATAAAGAGTGAAAGGTTGTAGATAGAAAGGGGATAATCAACTGCATAAGGTCTTTGAGAAAGGGTGAGCCTGTGGGTGCTGACCCATGGAAAGATACAGAAAAGGGATTCCTCCATTTGCACAGGAAGAAAGGACCAAAGAATGTATATGAATTCAGACAGATACATCACTCTGTTGGTAGAAAACTACAAAAAATATATTTATAGAAGACTTCTATTTCTTTAAATAACATGGCCAGGTACAGCGACTCATGCCTGTAATCTCAGCACTTCGGGAGGCCAAGGCCAGTGGATCATTTGAGGTCAGGAGTTCAAGACCAGCCTGGCCAACACGGCAAAACCCTGTCTCTACTAAAAATATAAAAATTGGCCAGGCACAGTGGTGGGTGCCTGTATTCCCAGCTACTCAGAAGGCTGAGGCAGGAGAATCACTTGAACCCAGGAGGCAAAGGTTGCAGTGAACCAAGACCATGCCTGCACCACAGCCTGGGCTACATAGCGAGATTCCATCCTAAAAATAAATAAATAGGCTGGGAGTGGTGGCTCACACCTGTAACTCCAGCACTTTGGGAGGCAGAGGTAGGCAGATCACGAGGTCAGGAGATCAAGACCATCCTGGCCAACATAGTGAAACCCTGTCTCTATTAAAAATACAAAAAATTAGCTGGGTGTGGTGGTGCACACCTATAATCCCAGCTGAGGCAGGAGAATCGCTTGAACACGAGAGGTGGAGATTGCAGTGAGCTGAGATTGCGCCACTGCACTTCAGCCTAGCGACAGATCGAGACTCTGACTCAAATAAATAAATAAATAAATAAATAAATAAATAACAATAATAGGGAAAGTTTGTCCCTGAAAGACAGGTGAGTGAAAGAGGCATGGAGGTGTTGGAGAGAGTGAGAGAAGTACAAAATACCTTCTTCAGAATGAGAAACTAACTACCTTCTGCTTTTTGTATATGAATCAGCCTTATGATAAGAGTTTAGCTTCCCAGGTACAAACATATAGAAAAGACAGATGATTGTGTTTATCCAGGGTGAAGTTTTCCCCGGAACTTGAGGGTATTTGCAAAAGAACTGAGTATATGGTGTCCACAGTCATTCAACATGCTAATTAAATTTTAGACCCTATAGTTTCTTTTTAAATGAAGGAATAGTTTATAATTCCCTCATGCAGTCATCATATTGGCAAAACATCTCACCAACAAAAAACCTGGAGTGGGGATTTGACTTTAAAAATTTTAAGTAGAATGACTGGCTGAAAGGTTTTGTGAAGGTAAATGTCGAAATGAAACAGCTTGGTGGCTTCTCAGGACCAACATTATAGAAATTACGTTCAACTATGGTTTATGTTCTAACACAGCTACTTGGATCTCTGTAGTCTAGGCAAGTTGTGTTCTCTCTCTCAAAAATGTTTCCTATTTGTAAATTTATGTGTTTGAATTGCAAAATTGTAAAATCTTACGATTACAAATCTTTAGGATTTGTAACATTTGTACATATTTATAAAATATTTTCCTATTTGCAAATATCAAGGACTGCCTCTTAGGGTTACTGTGAGGATTATGTTGTAGAAAAAGCTCAGTTCCTGTCACACTACCAGGATGAACTAGGCACGCAGACACATTGTAGGGTGAGTAGGGCAGGGTTTAATGAATGAAAAGGGAAATGGAACTCTTAGTAAAGCCAGAGAAAATCCGGCTAGCAGGTCTTCATTCCGCCTTACAGATTGAATCCTAGGTCACCACACGGGAACAGGAGAGTCCAGGCTCCTCTCCTCTGCAAAGATGTGAACTTCCTGAGGCTCCACCCCGTCTTCCCAGTATACAAGTGGGCATTATTCAGAAAGAATCAGTCAGGAAAGGGCAGGCTTCATCTGAGACCAGTAGCCAGGTTTTTCAGCCTTCAGGCTGTTTAGGCTTGAAGGTGGGCTTTCACCAGGGACCTTTAGCTGTCTCCTATATCTATCAATTAGATGGGGTAATATACATAAAATGCTTCAAATATTGCCTGGCAAAGTAAGCCCTCATTAAAATTAGCTGTCATCCTTATTTTGCATATTCCTTACATAATGCCTTGTTCCATTTTGTTTCAATATGGGAGACCTTTTTATCGTCTTCTTACTCTTGCTCTTGATCTAGGCTTTTTCTGTGTCATTTTAGGAACTGTTTGCTACCTGTGTGGTTATCAAATTAAGTTTCTCCATCCTGAAAAAAATTCTTTACATCCTAACTTTTCGTATTGTCATAATAAACTATTGAATAAAACTATTGAATAAAACTATTCAGTTGAAATAGAAGAGCTTTAAATGTTACAGTATATTTGGCCACATGTAATTTTATAACTATATAACTATTCAGTTTCCATTCTCTTTGTTATCCTTGAATTTTGAACATTTTGAGGCTGTCTGACCATTTGAAATGCATGGCACAAAATTTATTTTCTTTTTAAAATAGAAACCTACCATATGGATGTAGCAATAGTTATTGGGTTTTTAAAAAATCTATACTCTATAGTTTGTCAATCTTGTGTCTTATGTCAATCTAATTTTATAGATTATGTTCTGAATCTATAAAAATGAGGCACATAATGAAGAAAACATTTAACAAAATTGGGATTTTTAAAAATCTATACTCTCTAGCTTATGTCAATCTTATGTCAGTGTAATTTTATAGATTATGTTCTGAATCTATAAAAACGAGGCACACACTCAATGAAGAAAACATTTAACAAAACAGTATAACTTGGCTTGCCTAAATTGTGATTTCCTTAAGAGCAGGGATGTTATACTTTATATTCCCTTTTATTTATGGACCACTGATTTACACATATCAGTGGTTCTCAATGAATGCCCTTTCCCCCAGGCATTTAGAAATGTCAGGAATGGGGTGGGGTTGGGTGTGCATAGTTGACTGGAGGTATAACTTGTGTAGTGCCCTTGAGGACAGTGTTGTTAAATGTCCTGTAATTCACATTTGGATTACAACTAATTGTCTCACTCAAAAAATCAATAATTTCCCATTGAGAAATACTGACATATATGATTTATTCCTTTCTGCTTCGCTGAACAAATATATATTGATTGCCTCCTAAGGGTAATGTGTTCAACTGTAATTTTATGGGTGTGACTCTGGAAACATACCAGGCTCCTGGCAACATGAAGGAAGGGATACCACTTGATATCACTCTGATTTTCTCAACTGTACACAAAATGGTGTCAGTATCATTTGCTTCTGAAATCCAACCACCATCATTTTCACATCAAAAATGTTTACTGAAACAATTATATCAAGGCCAGGCATGGTGGCTCACACATGTAATCCCAGCACTTTGGGAGGCTGAGGCAGACAGATTGCTTGAGCCCAGGATTTTGAGACCAGACTAGGCAACCTGGCAAAACCTCATCTCCACAAAAAATACAAAAATTAGTCTAGTGTGGTGGTGTGCGCCTGTAGTCCCAGCTACTCAGAAGGCTGAGGTGGGAGGATCGCTTGAGCCCTGGAGGCAGAGGTTGCAGTGAGCTGAGATTGCACCATTGCACTCTAGCCTGAGTGACAGAGCAAGACCCTGACTCCCCACTCCCCACAAAAACAAAAACAAAAACAAAAATATACCTTTAGCCTTATTTTGGCTGAAGGTATAACAGTTGAACCAACAGACATATTTCCATTCCTTTGGAAATTTACATTTCCTGTGTTTATGGACTTCATACTAGATTACAACAAAGATGACTATAATATTACCCAGATTGCCTGAATGGCTCAGAAACCATGCAATTTGACATTTAACCATTAAGGAAATAGAAAAGTGGTCCATATTGTTTTCCCATAGGGGAAAAGGATTCTTTTAAAATATATATTTATTGTATTTTAGCTGCAAAAAATAAATAATTTTTAATCATTCCTTTTTAAAGAAGTGTCGTTTTATTGTTGCCTCCTTTCAAAGGTAGTTCCCTAAAATTTCCATAGGTGGCAGTAGCGTTCTACTTCCACAGGTTACATTATTGATAGCTGATAGTATTGTTTTTCAAGTAAGTGTGTATGTTTTGAGATTTCTGAGATATGTCTTCTGATATTCCCATTTTATCTAAATAAATACATTGGAATAATATTTTCATATTTCAAGCTAGGAGTATATTCAGAGACAATGAATGACCAATATTACACATTCCTATACCGTGTATTACCGAACTGGTTACACTCTGGTTCTAGTTATTCAATTGAAATAGAAGAGCTTTAAATGTTACAATATACTTGGCCACATGTAATTTTATAGTTATATAACTATTCAGTTTCCATTCTCTTTGTTGTCCTTGAATTTTGAACATATTGGGGCTTTCTGATCATTTGAAATGCATTTCACAAAATTTATTTCCTTTTTAGAATAGAAGCCTACCATACAGATGTAGCAATAGTTATTGGATTTTTAAAATCTATACTATCCATAGTTTATGTCAATCTTATGATTTTCCATGGAATAGACAATAAAATAGTAAAATCCAGATGTTAAATAATAATAATGACTCTCATTGCTTGACTGCTCTCTATCTGCCACGGCTAAGTGAATTGTCTCATTCTTTTTCTTCACAAATCTATATAATACTTTCATTATTTTTATTTTACAGTTAAGGAAATTGAGGTGTAGAGAGGTTAACTTGCCCCAAATTACACCCGTATTCTAATTCCTGAACCTATACTCTTCACCTGTATACTGTTATTACTGCCCAGAAGTGCAAAGTAGATGGACCTTTTTTCTTTTCCTATTTCCTTCACTCAGTGGGCAATGAAGTGAAAATGGAATGTTTATTTTTCTAATCTAATGAGAGCTCTTGCTTAGTCATTTCCTGTGTGGTATGTTCTTAATTCTAAGGGCACAAAGTATTCGGGAAAGGACTAGAGAGGGAAAAAAATAATAATACTTCTTCTCGGCATGTCTCTAAAACAGGAATATCCAGTTCTTAACACCTTGAGCATGGGATTAATTAACTGTCAAATAGCAAACCTCATGTGTTTGTTTGTTTTTTTTATTTAAATCCTGATATATGAGAATAACTGATGCTGTTGTTTAAGTGAATACTGGGCTAAATAATCTCTCCAAGCTGTTTTCCAGTTCCATCATTCTATGATTCTAAGAATTCTGTCATTCACAACTCTGAAAAAGACTCCATCCAGCCCACTTAGTAACTTCAGAAGAATTTTTTTAATGCTAGCTGTAGTATTATTTATAAACACATATAAGGAGTACTTGACTAATAATGTGTGTTGCAATTTTTAGTTGCCATTGATTAGAGGATGATTTCAGAAAACATAATGCAGTGTCTGCAGTGAAAAGCAAAGACCAAATCTGTTTAGTAACGCTCAACCCAATGGCAAGAATATGTGCATTTTTAAATCTTTTTATCCCCAGAGAGTAAATTATGTACTCTTGGAGACATTATTCTCTCAGACCTCTGGACTTCACTGAATGCACTGATGCAAGAATTCTAAATCATTCCATTCTTTTCTGAAGTTTTACTTCAACTTCTAGAAGTTTCCAGCATTTACAAAGGAACAGCTCTTGTATGAGAGAATCAGAAACCATACAAGAACAGCTCTTGTATGAGAGAATTTTTTTTTAGACTTTTAAATTTTATTAATAAAATACAAAACAGCGCAGACATTGGTGATAAGGGATGGAAAAGTCAAAGGATCAATCCAGGCTTAGAGATATTTATTCTTTCACATTGTAAAAATAGTGCATAAATTCTCAAATATGGCATCATGTAGGCAAAAACATACCTTGAGACTTGTTAGAGCCACCATTATTTTCCAAATAAAGTATCATACATAGTGTCATTGAGCTAAACTAGGACTAAACTTAGAAACCATCTTCAGGGATTTTCATGGAATATTCATCTGTTTTCAATATATAGATTATTTCCCCGTTTATTTTCTTTTGTTGTTGTTGTTCCATCTTTAGATTGTCTGTGAGTAAACTTGAATGTGTGGGGTGGGAGTGGGAAACTTAGTGCTGATTAAACACAACAATGACACTGAAAGAATCAGTTTTATAACCTGAGAATTGCTGTAGCCAGCATTAAAAGCAAGTCCTGCATCTTCTGAGAATCTGGCCGCCCCCCTCCTCTGAGAACACAGCTGTGGCTTTGGACTTGACAGTACATAGATGGGGTGTATTTATAATTTCTAGTTTGAGTTTCACTGCACAACCTTTGTCAGTAACTTTCCATGTGTATGCTTTCTATTAGCCACAGTGAAGTTCTCACTTATTTCACAGCAGAATGATCAGAACTCTGCTTCTATCTGAATTTTCACAAAGAAGATAGGGCCAGCTGACCATATCTGTGCCTCGAACCTAAGAAATCAACTAGAATGGGGTGTACTCTTGAAGGCTACCCAAAGTGGGAAGCCAGTATTTCAAGTTCAAGCCAATTTCCTGGGGGAGGCTCAAGAGTCAGTGAAAAAGAGAACAGATATAAACTCCAAGTTCAGAGTGTGAGAGCCTAGAGCCAGGAATGAAATAAAGCTTGATTGAAGCAAGAGCAGTCAGGAACAATTGAGAATGGTCTAAATAGAATGATTTCCAAAAATACTAATGGGTTGTCCATGGCCAGCGCGAGGAGGTAGGTATATAGCTATATTAACAATGATAATCCCAGACCATTCAGTGCAAGCTAGAGACTGCTAAACAAGCTATTGAGAGATATTGGAGGTGTATTTATCCATTTTCATACTGCTATAAAGAAATATCTGAGACTGGGTAATTAATAAAGAAAAAGAGTTGTAATAGACTCACAGTTCCACATGGCTGGGGAGGCCTCATAATCATCATGCAAGGTGAAGGAAGAACAACAGCACATCTTACATGGTGGCAGGCAGAAGAGCATGTGCAGGGAAACTGCTCTTTATAAAACCATCAGATCTCATGATCCCAACTATCACAAGAACAGCGTGGGACAAACCTGTCCCTATGATTCAATTATCTCTCACCAGGTCCCTCCCACAACATACGGGGATTGTGGGAGCTACAATTCAAGATGAGATTTGAGTGGGGACACAGCCAAACCATATAAGGAGGGATAATGTGAAGGGATGAAAGAGGATCAGGGTACTGGACTTTGATCTCTTTAGTACTCTGATTTTATTCTATTGCATTCTACAAATCTATATTAAATACTGTGCAATATTTAATATCTTATAGATATTTTGATGTGTTTATGAACATATATATAACCCCCTTGTCCCTCCAAATGTTAGAAGCAGAGTAGCAAAATCTGTATACTTAATTTAATTAATAGAGAAAAAAATCTTCAAGGATTTAGTCTCTGGAGGAAAATAGGTGTTTTCAACAGCTGCACCTAAATAAGTGTACCACCAGATGGCGTTCACACATTAAAGTCATGCTGTTTTCATGCAGTTTGCCTTGTCTAAATTTTAGAATCTGAAATAAGACATTATTGATGTTTTTAACTATTTTTACATCTTTTAGTACAAATGTCCTTAGCAATGAAATATAGTGGGTTTTAAAATAAGCTGATTTGGTAACATATGCCCTCTTTATGGAGGAAAAAAACCAACAATTTCACTTTTGTTTGCCCTAAAGATCTTTTTTTGTGTGATTTCTGATATGCAAAGTGGGTTAAAGTTTATATATCTACCATGCTCACATTTTTCTTTTATTTCCTTTAAATTCAAGACAGTGCAACATAAATTAGCAGAATTAAAAACACATATATGTGTAACCAGAGCATTTGTGGACAGCTGTCTCCAGCTGCACGAAAGGAAATGTATAGACTCTGCCACTGCTTGCATGGCGAAATATTGGTATGCATGCTACAGTAATTAGAGTGTGGTGTATGCTCAGACTGATATGGAATTCTGCCAATTTTAAGCTCAGCCTTGAGGGTCTTAAAAGAAGTCTGTGAAATGAAAAATAAAAGTAAAATTCAACTTTTTTAAAAATGCTGAAAAGTCCCATTAAACATGTATAACGTGCTAAAAAATATTCAAGTTGGCATTGAATTTTTTTTATCCTACTAGGCAAGCAAAGTTAGTATCTAATTCTTAACTTGCTATTGAAAATAAAATATTAAGAGAAGGATAATGAAGACTAATATTGATAGAATAATCATCAATATTAACATTAGTTCATTCAAGTCATAGTTTAATTTCAAATCATCTGAAGTGTGGCAGTATAGTGAGGGTGAAAGAGAACAGTAAAATTTAGGAACCTTAAGATAGAGTCCCAATTCTTTTATTAAATAACTATAATTAAACATCCAGGAAAATGTTTTTGTTATCTGTGAAATGACTAAGTTGGACAGGATTCTTCTATTTAAGGTGCTTTCCAGATGTAAGAAAAAATTCACAAAGAACTGGCTGTCGAAAGTTTTGCAGGCTCTAATAAGTGAAAGGAAACTAAAAATCCTATTAAGTTTAGAAAGACTTTGATTTGAATTAAAGATTATTAGCAATGGTACTAAAGATGAGTTGATCAAAAAAAGATCCCTGTATGTAAGACTTTTGTGTATTTTAAGACTTAAGAATATATAGTCTAAATCAGATTTTGGAGGTAGTTTTGGTTTCCTTATTTTAAAAACAAACATTCTCACATATCATTAGCTCAAGAGTAACCTGTAAAAAAATTCCCGTCATTACTCATTAACTTGTGTTCAGTTGAGTTACAAGTAGGACAGGAGAAATATTTTGTGCTTTATACAATGATCCCACAATAATAAAATTGCTAGGTTGAAAAGTAATGTGGAATTACTAGGAACTTGTACTTTTGGGGAGACTTTTTATATTTACATTTACAACAAGTTCTTTGACTAGTGGAAAAAAGTGTAAAAAATTTTTTACATACAGGTATTGACCGACTTACGACCTATGCAACTTACGACCATTCGACTTTATGACCATAATCGCTAGCCACGACTGCTCCGCATCTGGCAGCGCAAACGTTGCCCTGCTGGGCGTACGACAGTGGGGACCAGCTTCCGGCAGCACTACCATCTCCGCGTGTACCATTTCAACTGTTATCCCAGACTCGGTACAGCAATTTGTGTTTTGTGTCTTGGATATTTTTCATCAAACCCCTCCCAATAAACTTCTTATACATTTCGAAGCAATGGACCCAAACATCGAACGATTTGCAAGGACTGAACGGATGCCGAACGATGTGTTTCGTCCGTATCGTGAAATTTATGAAGAAAAAAAGAAACATACAATTCAGACAAAGCTCACCATGTTTATGAAAAAACCAACTCCGGTAACCCCAACTGCTGCCTCAGATGATGACATCAACGATCCGCAGCCAAGCACCAGCGGCCAATAAAATGTTTTGTACATGTTTATATATTTTGATATGTTTTGCAATTGGGAAAATGTTTCCTATGGTATTTCTTACACCTGTATTTTGTATTTTTGTATGCACCTGTATTTTGTAATTTTGTATGTTTTGCAAATATTAAACCAGTTGTACTGGTAATGCAGTGTTTTACTTAAACCTGGCGAATGTAAAAATAAGAAACAAAATGGTGTAGAGATGATACAAATGGCATAAAATGAACAAAGAAAATTATGATATATAACAATAATGAAAGAAAATTATGATAAAATATGACTTAAAGATTTTTATATCATTTCACAATGCTGTACTGTACATGTAGCCTACTCAACTTACAACCAAATCGTGTTACGACCGGTCTGTCGGAACCAATCGTGGCCGTAAGTCGAGCACTAGCTGTATTTTTGGAAAAAGAGAGATTTGGATAGCCATTGACCTTGTTATTTGAAAACCCCAGGTTTATAGACATGATGGTATTTCACATTGAAGCACAGGAGACAACTAGTTACAGCCCAGTAAATATTTCACTAAAATACTTACCAAAAATAAAAAATTATCAAATTTCAAATATTGTCTCCAAAGCCCTGTCTATTGATAATTATATTGTTGGCCAGGCATGGTGGCTCATGCCTGTAATCCTAGCGCTTTGGGAGGCTGAAGCCAGCAGATCACAAGATCAGGAGTTCAACACCAGCCTGGCCAATATGGTGAAACCCTGTCCCTACTAAAAATAAAATAAAATTAGCCGAGCATGGTGGCGCATGCCTGTAATCCCAGCTACTCAGGAGGCTGAGGCAGGAGAATTGCTTGATCCCTGGAGGCAGAGGTTGCAGTGAACCGAGATTGCCCCACTGCACTTTAACTTGAGCGACAAGAGTGAGACTCCATCTCAAAAAAAAAAATTTATTGTTAATATATGGCTTAGAAACATCCTCAGCTGTCATATAGCTTGAGTTTTAAATTATTTTAAATTTTAAAAAGTATCTATCCTTATCTTTGCTTTATGTTTCCCACTATTGCAAAATAAGTAGCAGAGTGCTGTAGCTTACAACTGTAATCACTCCTACTCCAGAGGCTGAAGTGAGAGGATCCTTTGAGCCCTCAAGGAGTTCAAGACTGTAATGACCTTTGATTGTGCCACTCTACCCAGCCTGGGCCATAGAGTGAGTGAGACTCCATCACTAAAATAAATACACTAACAAACAAAGAAATAAAGAAAAGAAAAATAAACAGAAAAGAATTTTGAACTAACATATTTTTATGTTAAGGTGAATAAAATCTGTATCGTGAATTTTAATAATAGTCAGAATTGTGATATAATCAGAAAAGAATTTTTCTCAAGCACTGCATGTTTATATATGTATACATACATTATATGTAATACTCATACACACACTTCAGAAATATTAATCTCTATATAATTTTCTAATGTTTTCTATATGATAGCATATAGTTTGTTAGTCTGCCCTCTTGGGTTTTCACTTTTACCTTTGATTTATTTCTGAAAAGTCAGAACGCTAAAAAATTGCTTTTTTATACTGAAATTCAGAATCGTGATCTTCAAGTAGAAAGTGACATCATTGGAGAAAAAAAGCATATTACAAGGGCAAAAAGAACTAGGTGGCTGAGTAATTTAGATCATATAAAGAATCCAAATAAATTAGAACATATTCAAGTCTTTACTGTATCTTTTTCTAGCCTTTTGAAACCTAATCATGTTTTCTAACTTTTGTTTCTAGCCTAACAAAAACCTAGCAAGAAATGTAATTGATGAAGAAGGTATTCTTATATGAAAATTCTCTTGAAATTTATTTCATATGTGATTTTTATCATCTCCTTTGCTTAGCTAATATGCCATTTTAATTGCTTAATAAATGTGCACATTTAAACAATTATACATAATTGGTTTTCTGGTTTTGAAGCACCTCATGAAAATCCATTTCAAACATTTCTTTCTGCCCCCCCCTTTTTTTTTTTTTTTTGGTCATTTAGGACATCTGATTTACAAAATAGTGTAGCTTATGAGTATGTACAGCTCCTTGGAGGTTGGGGATGCATATGGGAGTACCCAATTGCAAAGTAAGTATGGTTGTTCTGACACACTATTCTTTATGATATGAAGAAAAAGGAAAATTACTTTGTACATCAAATGTAGAGGGAAAGGAGATGTGCAATCTTTTGAATTTTTCAGCTGAATAGAGACAGAATGTGTTCAAGCAAATGGAAACAGCTTTTTTTATCAACTCACTACTGGGATTTTATCTTTCTTAAAGAAAGTAAAGAGACCAGTATACCAAAGCTTGATGCTTGACCTTATTTGAATTGTCATGTAGAAGGACAAGTACTACTTTTAAAATTTTTGTATTCTTTATTTTACTTTGAGACAGCTTCGCTCTGTCACCCAGGTTGGAGTGTACTGGCATGATCTGGGCTCACTGCACCTTCTGCCTTCCAGGTGCAAATAATTCTTGTGCCTCAATCTCCAGAGTAGCTGGAATTAACAGGTGCATGCTATTTTTTTTTGTATTTTTAGTAGGGGTGTGGTTTTGCCATGTTGGCCAGGCTGGTCTCCAACTCCTGGCCTCAAGTGTTCAGCCTGCCTTGGCCTCCCAAAGTGCTGGGATCACAAGCGTGAGCCACCGTGTCTGGCTAAATACTACTTTAGAAAAAAAAAAACAGTACAGAAACGTTAACTGGCATATACAAAGGATGCAAGTTGTCACATATCTTAAATATCTGATTGTTTTGCTCTAAAAAATAAATCAAAAATCTTTATTTTTCTAAATACATTTTTATTTCCTTCAAATGGAAAGAAATCAAATATATCTTTTTTATTTATCATATTATATATGAATATTCTTATCAGTTTGAAGCAGTACTAATTTGTATAGGCAGTGTCCTCACCCACGTTTCCTCCTTAATCTCCAGAATTTCCTTTTCTCTTAGCATAGTCTTTTGCCTCAGAAGCCTGCCCATAGCATTTCTCCTCATCACCCTAGAAAATACATCTTTCTCATTACTTAGCAATGTTTTTGGTTTAGAAAATTTTCTCAAGGACATTTTTTATTTATACAGAAAAGTTCAATTTGGTCTGAATCTGAGAGTAAGAATGCTGTAGGCGTCTAAAAATGTTTTAAGATTTTTATCTTAATGCAAAGTATCTAAAGGGAAAAATTATGAAACCCACATTCAAACTGGCAGCCTAATGATTTCAAATTTACCTTTTCGGTAAGTATAATTGAAAACATTTAATGTATTTATAGTCCTTAGTGAGAAAAAGAAATATTTTACTAAAATTACATTAAGACCAGAAGCTATGTAGTGGCTCAATGTTTGTGTGGTTTAATTCACATTCTAAGAAAGGCCTATTAGGTGGGGAGAAGGCAACCATCTAAATGGCTTAAGATTAGAGTGTGGCATAAGCCTTGGTCTCTTTTCTCAGAGTCAACTTCTTCAAGCTGATACCAAGCAAACATTGTAGCTTGATGGCTTATTTGAAATCTTTGGTTTCAGTTTAAGAGACTTATATTACCTTTAAGAAACAATAACTACCTTCCTTGGCCAGTTTGTTAGTTCAAAGATTGTATCAATTTTTAAAGTAGCCTACTATTTCTCTTTCCATGTATCACTTAATACCAAAAAAACCACTTAGGCCAGGCACATTGGCTCATGCCTGTAATCCCAGCACTTTGAGAAGCCTAGGTGGGTGGATTGCCTGAGCTCAGGAGTTTGAGACCAGCCTGGACAACATGGCGAAACCCTGTTTCTACTAAAAATACAAAAAATTTAGACAGGCATGGTTGCGGGCACCTGTAGTCCCAGCAACTCAGAGGACACAAGAACTGCTTGAACCCGGGAGGCAGAGATTGCAGTAAGCTGAGATCACCCCACTGCACTCCAGCCTGGTCGACAGAGTAAGACTCTGTCTCAGAAAACAAAAAGTCACATAGACACATTAGGCAATATGTGGATGTAATGTATAAACTTTGATTTGATAGAAAAAAAATCATTCTAATTGTGTTTTTTATATCCCGCAGACTAAACTACATTAGTTTATATATTATGTTGCTGAGTCTTGGTTTCATAGATAAATGAGGTGCTTTCTCTGCTTTTTTATTTTACTTTTTTTGTTTTTGTCTTTTTAAATAATTGGTCTTTAGCATGTGGGTTTATTTCAGTCTTACTCATTAGGTTCGAGCCTGAGGAGAGAGGTTGAAGGTTTGCCATTTGAGGATTTTCTCTACCATGCTAGGAAGAGCAGCCTTAGATATATAACTTCATTGCAGTGTGGTTAAACATTTCTGCTGCTGCCTTTTACTGTTAATTTTAGTTGATGACTAAATTTAATTAGTAACATATAAAAGGTCTACTAATCTCTGTCTTTGTCTACTCCATTGGCACTTCTTTAATGTGAAAAGAAGTCTAGTCCATTAAAAAAAAATCTAAACGCCTTGGGATTGCTGAAATAGGCTTACACTAGGTAAGTCTTCAAAATGCAGGTGCTAGATTTTGTAGAGCAGAGCAAAATCTGTTTAGAAAAAAAAATGTTTGCAAACAAATGTCTCAAGCTTTTAAAGCTTTCTGCAGAAAGTACCGAGATTCTAAACTTCCTTTGTAATATAGTAAATCATATCAATAAACATTTACTGAGCGCCCATTTCTTTGTAGGGAACTCTGATGAATATGGAGAAGAATAAGTTCAAATCTGGTATGTTCTTAGAGAGCCTGTAACCCCAGCACTTTGGGAGGCTCAGGCGGGCAGATCACGAGGTCAAGAGATCGAGACTATCCTGGCCAACATGGTGAAACCCCGTCTCTACTAAAAATACAAAAATTCGCTGGGCTTGGTGGCATGCATCTGTAGTCCCATCTACTCAGGAGGCTGAGGCAGGAGAATTGCTTGAACCTGGGAGGCAGAGGTTACAGTGAGCCAAGATCGCTCCACTGCACTCCAGCCTGGCACCTGGCAACAAATCGAGACACCGTCTCAAAAAAAAAAAAAAAAAAAAGATCAAATTTAAACAAAGCAAAACACCATGATTATACTTGAGGAAAAAAAAAAAACGTTTGAATGTGTCTACTAAGAAAGTCCAAAGTTCAATAACTAGTGCTTTTGGCCAATGAAAGTGTTGTGATACACAAAAAAGACATTTGAAAAAGAGGCAGGATACCTACATCCTCATTCCAGTTTGCCAATGATGTGTTCATGACAATTAAATAGCAACCATTAATTAGGAAATGTATTAACTTCTCTGTACTTCAGTTCCTTTACCAGGAAAACAGTATTAACATTTAACCCTCCTCAATCCCAGAGCTAAGAGGATAAAATGAGATGAGACAAGATAAAAACAGCTGTACAATGGCATGGTTGTTATCATGACTATCAAAAATGAACTTCTGATGATATTTGGGGCTTTTCTTTGGTGTGAGTATGGCAATGGACTCAACCACTTAGTATTTTAACTCCACACATCGCTGAAGTTAATTATTAACCATTTCCATAAAACAAGTTACTTGCTAACTTTCTGGGAAATAATATTTGCTAAAGCATCGGTTTATATTCCTGATAGTGGTGGTGGGAGTGCTAGAATATATGTATTTTTTTCTTTTGTTTTCTGCAAAACAAATGGATTTCAACTTTTTTAGAAAACATATAAGAAACTAAAACAGTCTGTGCATTTCCTAATCAAAACAGACTTTTGAAGAGTGTTATATGTGCTGAATTTTACAAAATTAAATCAGATGAAACATACTTGTTATTTCAAATTTATAATATCTTTAATCAAATTAAAATAAAGCTATACAGATTATTAACATCTTAATAGTTTTTTTTTTTACTGTTATTCCAATTTAGAATGAATGCTATATTGAAAAAACAAGTAATTTATGAAGGACTTTTATTGTTTGTATTTCATTAAATTGATAGTTTAATTAATAGTTACCTGGTGAGACAAAATTTACAGTTTCTAGTATCTTTTATTTATTTATTAAATAATCTTCCGATTTATCCAGAGCTTATGTGGAAGCCTGAGTTCAGCCAATCTATGGTGGTGCAAATGAAATAGTGAAGGAGCTGATTGCAAGATATATTGTCTGTGACAAGTAGACATCTGCCCACATCTTGGAATCCTATTACAGCTAATCTGGTTTTAAATCTACTCAAGATAAAATGTAACTTGGAAAGCAAAGAAACACTGAACATGTTTTTATATGCTCTCTCTATAAAGAAGGAAATAAAATATAAATATAAGATTAACACAGTAGAAGGAGAAATCTTTGAAGCCAAAATTCTCATTTTCCAATATAATGTTTAACTTACAGTATTTTTTATATAGCCAAAGGTAAAAGATTTTCAGTTTGATTTATCTCCAAAATTCTAAAAAACATAAATTGTCCAAATCTTCAAACCAAGGCAGAAATAATTTTATGTCATTATAGTATAAAATCACTATTAAGACAGCACATTAACTTTTAAAGGGAAAAATATAACTTAGAATGTAAACTCATTTCAGCTACCTTTTGCTCCAAATTCCCTAAAACAGTGTTTTTTTTTTTTTTTTATCACTGTACTGCAACCTCCTGTTTTTAAGCAATGGAACTTTTTCTTCAAACAAAAGTTTATGCAGAACATCTCTGTGAAACACTGTTGAGTGAGAATTGCTTTGATTGAAGCAGGAAGCCATCATGCCTTACTACCTTGAAACCCCTAGGACTCAGCTAAGCATTTACCTAATCCTGACCAGGGAATGCCTTGGTTCTGTCAATTGCTGACACCCAAGAACACAGAATAGTCCATCATTCTTTAATTTCAAGATATTGGTACATGTTATAGGTATCAAAGCAATGGCTTTTATTTTGTAACAGTTAGTGTATTTATTAACGGTTATTTTATGTCTTCTATAAACCAGCCTCTTAATGCAATGATGACAAACAAACTGGCAAGATAACTAAAAAATAAGTGAATAAACAAATAAGCAGTACTAAATAAAGAAGTAAATAAGTAAAAGAGATAATTTAAAGCATAAGTGCAATTTAAATAATAAAGCATTTAAAATTGAAAAGTGAAGAAATGACATTCGATTTGAGACTTAAAAGAGATTATAAAAAATAAACAATTAATTTAAAGTAGATTTAAAAAGAAAATAAATGTATTCTTACTCAACTTCGAAAACAAACATTTTATTTGGTATTGTTGATATTAAACATTATTTTTTAATACAACCATTACAACTGGAGAGAGCAGAAGGAAGAAAAAATATTTTGATACTATTCTTTTTTTCATTACTATTATACTTTAAGTTCTGGGATACATGTGCAGAACATGCAAGTTTGTTACATAGGTACACATGTGCCATAGTGGTTTGCTGCACCAATCAACCTGTCATCTACATTAGGTATTTCTCCTAAAGCTATCCCTCCCCTAGCCCCCACCCCACCACAGGCCCCAGTGTGTGATGTTTCCCTCCCTGTGTCCATGTGTTCTCATTGTTCAACTCCCACTTATGAGTGAGGACATGCAGTGTTTGGTTTTCTGTTTCTGTGTTTGTTTGCTGAAAATGATGGTTTCCAGCTACATCCATGTCCCTGCAAAAGACATGAACTCATCCTTTTTTATGGCTGCATAGTATTCCATGGTGCATATGTGTCACATTTTCTTTATCCAGTCTACCATTGATGGGCATTTGGGTTGGTCCCAAGTCTTTGCTATTGTGAATAGTGCTGCAATAAACATACGTGTGCATTTGTCTTTATAGGAGAATGATTTATAATCATGGGATTACTAGGTCAAATGGTATTTCTGGTTCTAGATCCTTGAGGAATTGCCACAGTGTCTTCCACAATGACTGAACTAATTTACACTCCCACCAACAGTGTAAAAGTGTTCCAATTTGTCCACGTTCTCTTCAGCATCTGTTGTTTCCTGACTTTTTAATGATCACCATTCTAACTGGCATGAGATGGCATTTCATTGTGGTTTTGATTTGCATTTCTCCAGTGACCAGTGATGATTAGCTTTTTTTGAGATTTGTTTCTCTTTTGAGAAGTGTCTGTTCGTATCCTTTGCCTGCTTTTTGATGGGGTTGTTTTTTTTCTTGTAAATTTGTTTAAGTTTCTTATAGATTCTGGATATTAGCCCTTTGTCAGATGGATAGATTGAAAAAATTTTCTCCAATTCTGTAGGTTGCCTGTTCACTCTGATGATAGTTTCTTTTGCTGTGCAGAAGTTATTTCATTTAATTAGATCCCATTAGTCAATTTTGGCTTTTGTTGCCCTTGCTTTTGATGTTTAAGTCATGAAGCTTTTGTCCATGCCTATGTCCTGAATGGTATTGCCTAGGTTTTATTCTAGGGTTTTTAAGGTTTTGGTTCTCACATTTAAATCTTTAATCCATTATGAGTTAATTTTTGTGTAAGTATAAGAAAGGGGTCCAGTTTCAGTTTTCTGCATATGGCTGGCCAGTTTTCCCAATACCATTTATTAAATAGGCAATCCTTTCCCCATTGCTTGTTTTTGTCTGGTTTGTCAAAGATCAGATGGTTGTAGATGTGTGGTGTTATTTCTGAAGCCTCTGTTCAGTTCCATTGGTCTATATCTCTGTTTTGGTACCAGTACCATGTTGTTTTGGTTACTGTAGCCTTGTAGTATAGTTTCAAGTCAGGTAGTGTGATGCCTCCAAGTTAGTTATTTTTGCTAAGGATTGTCTTGGCTATAAGGGCTCTTTTTGTTTCCATATGAAATTTAAAGCCTTTGTTTTTGTTTTTGTTTTCTAATTCTGCAAAGAAAGTCAATGGTAGCTTGATGGGAATAGCATTGAATCAATAAATTGTTTTGGGCAGAATGGCCATTTTCTTGATATTTATTCTTCCTATCCATGAGCATGGAATGTTTTTCCATTTCTTTGTGTCCTCTCTTATTTCCTTGAGCAGCGATTTGTAGTTCTCCTTGACGAGGTCCTGGCTTGAGATGGCATCTCATTGTGATACAACTTACATCCCTTGTAAGTTGTATTCCTAGGTATTTTATTCTCTTTGTAGCAACTGTGAATGGGAGTTCACTTATGATTTGACTCTGTCTATTAGTGGTGTACAGGAACACTTGTGACTTTTGCACATTGATGTTGTATCCTGAGACTTTGCTGAAGTTGCTTATCAGCTTAAGGAGACAATGGGGTTTTCTAAATATACAATCATGTCATCTGCAAACATAGATAATTTGACTTCCTCTCTTCCTATTTGAATACTATTTATTTTTTTCTCTTACCTGATTACCCTGGCCAAAACTGCCAATACTGTGTTGAATAGGAGTAGTTAGAGAGGGCATCCTTGTCTTATGCTGGTATTCAAAGGGAATGCTTCCAGCTTTTACTCAGTATGGTATTGGCTATGAGTTTGTCATAAATAGCTTTTATTATTTTGAGCTACATCCCATCAATATATAGTTTATGGAAAGTTTTTAGCATGGAAGCGTGTTGAATTTTATTGAAGGCCTTTTCTGCATCTATTGAGATAATCAGGTGGTTTTTGTCATTGTTTCTGTTTATGTGATGGATTACTTTTATTGATTTGCATATGTTGAACCAGCCTTGCATCCCAGGGATGGAGCCAACTTGATTGTGGTGGATAAGGTTTTTTACATGCTGCTGGATTTGGTTTGCCAGTATTTTACTGAGGATTTTAAAAATTGCTGAAAAGAATGAATATTCTATCTGTTTGGGGTGGAGAGTTCTGTAGATGTGTAATAGGTTCACTTGGTCCAGAGCAAAGTTCAAGTCCTGAATATCCTTGTTAATTTTCTCTCTCATTGGTCTGTCTAATATTGGCAGTCGGATGTTAAAGCCTCTCACTATCATTGTGTGGGAGTCTAATTCTCTTTGTAGTTCTTTAAAAACTTGCTTTATGAATCTGTGTGTTCCTGTACTGGGTGCATATATATTTGAGATAGTTAGCTCTTCTTGTTGCCTTGATCTCTTTACCATTATGTAATGCCCTTGTTTGTCTCTTTTGATCTTTGTTGGTTTAAAGTCTGTTTTATCAGAGACTAGGACTGCAACCCCTGCTTTTCTTTGCTTTTCCTTTGCTTGGTAAATATTCCTCCATCCCTTTATGTTGAGTCTATGTACACCTTTGCACATGAAATTGGTCTGCTGAATACAGCACACTGATAGGTCTTGACTCTTTATCCAATCTGCCAGTCTGTGTCTTTTAATTGGGGCATCTAGCCCATTTACATTTAAGGTTAATATTATTATGTGTGAATTGGATCCTGTCATTATGATGCGAGCTGGTGTTTTGCCTGTTAGTTGATGCAGTTTCTTCATAGTGTTGATGGTCTTTACAATTTGGTATGTGTTTGCAGTGGCTGGTACTGGTTTTTCCTTTCCATATTTAGTGCTTCCTTCAGAAGCTCTTGTAAGGCAGGTCTGGTGCTGACAAAAATCTCTCAGCATTTGCTTGTCTGTAAAGGATTTTTGTTTCTCCTTCACTTGTGAAGTTTAGTTTGGCTGGATATGAAATTCTGGGTTGAAAACTCTTTTCTTTAAGAATGTTGAATATCGGCCCCCACTGTCTTCTGGCTTGTAGGGTTTCTCCAGAGAGATCTACTGTTAGTCTGATGGGCTTCCTTTTGTGGATAACCCAATCTTTCTCTCTGGCTGCCCTTAACATTTGTTCCTTCATTTCAACCTTGGTGAATCTGATGAATATGTGTCTTGAGGTTGCTCTTCTCAAGGAGTATCTTTGTGTTATTCTCTGTATTTCCTGAATTTGAATGTTGGCCTGTCTTGCTAGGTTGGGAAGTTCTCCTGGATAATACAACTTGGTTCCATTTTCCCTGTCACTTTCAAGTACAACAATCAAAAGTAGGTTTGGTCTTTTCACAAAGTCCCATATTTCTTGGAGGCTTTGTTAGTTCCTTTTTAATCTTTTTTCTTTAATCTTGTCCTCATGCTTTATTTCATTAAGTTTATCTTCAGTCTCTGATATATTTTCTTGATCGATTTGATTATTTATACTTGTATATGTTTCACAAAGTTCTCATGCTATGTTTTTCAGCTCCATTAGGTCATTTATGTTCTTCTCTAAACTGGTTATTCTAGTTAGCAATTCCTCTAACCTTCTTTCAAGGTTCTTAGCTTCCTTGCATTGGGTTAGAACATGCTCCTCTAGCTTGGAGGAGTTTGTTATTACCCACCTTCTTAAGCCTACTTTTCTCAATTCATCGAATTCATTCTCCATCCGGTTTTGCTCCCTTGCTGGTGAGGAATTGTGATCCTTTGGAGGAGAAGAGGCATTCTGGTTTTTGGAATTTTCAGCCTTTCTGTGATGGTTTTTTTCTCATCTTTGTGGATTTATCTACCTTTGGTCTTTGATGTTGGTGACCTTTGGATGGGATTTCTATGTGGACGTCTTGTTTGATATTGATGCTATTCCTTTCTGTTTTCCTTCCAACAGTCAGACCTCTCTGCTGCAGGTCTGCTGGAGTTCCAATCCAGACCCTGTTTCCCTGGGTATCACCAGTGGAGGCTGCAGAACAGCCAAGATTACTGCCTGTTTCTTCCTCTGGAAGCTTCATCCCAGAGGGGCACCTGCCAGATGCCAGCCAGAGTTCTCCTGTATGAGGTGTCTGTCGACTCCTGCTGGGAGGAGTCTCCTAGTCAGGAGGCACAGGGGTCAGGGAACAACTTCAGGAGGCAGTCTGTCCCTTAGCAGAGCTCTAGCTCTGTGCTGGTAGATCTGCTGCCCTCTTCAGAGCTGGCAGGCAGGAACATTTAAGTCTGCTGAAGCTGCACCGACAGCCACCCCTTCCCCAAGGTGCTCTGTTTCAGGCATATGGGAGTTTTATCTATAACTGGGGCTGCTGCCTTTCTTTCAGAGATGCTCTGCCCAGAGAGTGGGGATGGCTACAGCGACTTTGGTGAGCTGTGGTGAGCTCCACCCAATCTGAGCTTCCCCGTGGCTTTGTTTACACTGTGAGCTGTGAGGGGAAAACCACCTACTCAAGTCTCAGTAATGGCAGATGCTCCTCCCCCCACCAAGCTCTAGTGTCCCAAGTCAACGTCAAACTGCTATGCTGGCAGCAAGAACTTCAAGCCAGTGGATCTTAGCTTGCTGGGCTCCATGG